ATTTGCAATAAACTTAAGAAAAAGCACCATGGAGGTTGGCAGCGTGCCTACAAATAATAAATAAATAAATTTATTCTCATGATACAGTACATGAGGGACGCCGGTTTACAGGCATCATAAAATTGTTACAGCAATAGGGCCATATTATCCAGTCACATTTTACAATCGATAGCAAAATATGTTTAACATGTACACTGGAGATTATACATACACTTGATAAATGTTAATCCCAATAGTATAAAACATCCTTTTCACTTATGTACAATCATTTCTGTGCATAGTTGGAAAAATCTGCTAGATTGTTAGTGAGTGCAACACATCAGGAAATACAGAAGTATCGTCTTCGCATTAATAAAACCAGGTCTTTGGTGGGTGGGTTATAAGTGCCTGGGAAAAAAATAAACCTTGAAGTTAATTTTCATGCTTAAATTTGTTGTGTGCAGAATCCTTGAATTATAGTTCATTGTTGTGTTATTTTGAAATCAGTGATATGTTTATCTCATTTGATCTGCAATGCCATTGTCGGGAGTAAAATACATAAGCTTTAGACGCATTGATTAATGGATTTCTACTGCTTGTGGGTATTTACTTCTCGTGAGGAAGGGCTTAGGGCTTCTCAGAAAAGATTATATCATATTACGAAGAGTATTAAATGCTGCGAGTAGGGCATGTGGTCTGCCACTGAATGAGCTCGCCAAAACTATAGTCGAGAGGCATATAAATTCCTGTACAAAATGGGCAAAGGCTATACTGTCAGACCCTCTGCACCCCCTTTATTCACAACTTGTTAATGCGAAGACAATATCTCTATGTTTCTTTATATGCTACACAAACAGACTTTATAGCAGACTCTTCCGACTGAATCTAATGACAGAAAGAACAACCAAACTGTAAATCCATTATACATCAAATCATGTGCAATTTATATAACAACTTATCCATGCCTGTACAATAGGTATGTTCCTGCATAAACAGGAAGGAATATATTTTTATTATTAAAACAATATTTATGCATGCCTATACAGTTGGTGTACCCTACATAGCTAGGGAAAAAACGTACCTTATATTTACTAAATATGCTTATTAATATTATGTGTAACTTATCGAATTGATGATGCCTGTAAACTGGCGTCCCTCATTTAAAAAATAATAATAATAATAATAGTATATTCTCATTTTGTACATGAGAGACGCCAGTTTACAGGCATCATCAATATGATAAATTACATATACGATTAGCAATCATAATTAATAATAATGTTTTAATAAAGTACACATTTTTTCCTACTTGTGTAGGACACACCAAATATACAGGCATGGATAAGCATTAATTAAATTTCATAAATTCGGTTTATGGTTAAGTTACATGGTTGCTGGCGTTTTTGTTTTAATAATAATTATAATAATGTATATTCTCATATAAACATATAAATTTACATGAAAATGCATGCCATTTTTTTAGGTCTGTGGGAACAATATGATAACCAGTCATTCAATGGAGCACATCATGAAATATAGGAATATTGACTTCGCATTAACAAAAAAACCCAAGTAAGTTTTGGATGGATTAAAAATACTTGGGAAAAAATAAAGCTTGAAGTTATTCCACAATATAACAAGTCATTCAATGGAGCACATCATGAAATATAGGAATATTGTCTTCGCATTAACAAAAAAACCCAAGTAAGTTTTGGATGGATTAAAAATACTTGGGAAAAAATAAAGCTTGAAGTAATTCCTCAATATAACCTGGGTGTGTACAAATCCGAATCTCATTTTTGATTTGATTTATATCCAAATTGGGTAATAAGGAAGCTATTTTTACAGATACGATCAGTTATGTTATAAGCTACAATCGTGAAGTTGTATTACAAATTGATACTTTTCCATTGGTATAAGAGTATATTTCCACAAATGTAATCCAGGTTGCGTCGTGGAGAAAGTTAATTCGTTATTAACCAGGCAACTGAAAGATACGGGACCAATAATGTTTGCAGATCATTTGTCATTGTAAATGGTCAAATATCCACATTATTCATTCTCATTCAAAAAGTCAAATGGAAGCTGAAATGGTGAGAGAAAAAAGAAGACAAACAACAGCAACGCAAAAGAAAGCAACGGGAGTCCTTAAGGAGTGATTAATAAATATATACATATATATTCTGTTTAGTAACTGTGGTTATTTTGGTACACAAACTAACTAGTCCCGTTATGCTAACTTTTATATTATGTGTGAACTAATATTACTGTCCTGTGTAGAAATGTTAATCATCTAGTTCCAATAATATTAAAATTTATAATTGTAGTTTGCTGTAACTACACGTTTAAACAACTTAAAATATCTATGTAGGGTGAAAAAGAGGGTGTAAGAGTCAGACGTATAAGTGCATTGTCATCTTTGAGCAGTCTGGTGACTGAGGAGATGAACACTGGAAGTGTGTTTGCATCGCGCACATTAGCTGGTAGTCTATTCCAAATGACTGAAAACTTATTTAAGAAGAAGTTGTACCGCACGTAAGTCTGACAGTGCTCCATAGCAGCTAGGTTGTGATGATTTCTAAGATTGTAACTGACGACAGCGGTAGGTTTAGTTATTGGCTCGGAGGAATGCAAGAGAAGATTAGTTAGCTTATAGTAAAAGATTAGGTTTAGCTTAAGGCGTCTTTTCCAGAGGGGTTCTAATCTTAGTCTTACGCATCGCTCATGGTATTCCAGACCACTTTCTAAACCAAGAGTTCTTGAGGTAAACTGCCGTTGCACTCCCTCTAATTTAAGCTTGTCATTTTGTCTTAGTCCGCTAAGAATAAACGGGCAGTATTCTAAGATAGGTCGGACACATACTTTGTATAATAAAACCCTAGTTTCACAACAAAAGAAATTGCGTGTTATGCATCCTATCAGCCTACGCGTTTTACGTCTGGCATAATCAGTCTGTTCAGCGAACGTTAGGTTACTAGAGTATCTAATACCGAGATCTACGACTGAATTGAGCTTAGCTAGTTTTCGCCCATTTATTTCAAGGTTTAGATCAAGCTTACTGTTGCCGATACAAATCCAGCCGCATTTGTCAATGTTAAAATTTAGGCAGGATTCAGCACACCACGTTGCAAGGCTACTTAGTTCAAGATGTATTTTAGTAACCATATCGCTTAATTCATGAGTGTAGCAGGAGTAGACGACTTTGAGGTCGTCAGCATATAGGAATGGTTTACCTGAGGTGAAGCACTTGCAAATGCTGTTAATGTAAACTGTGAATAAAAGTGGACCTAGGACACTACCTTGCACGACCCCACTTGAGATCTGCCTAGGGTGAGACAATACAGATCCAACTTTGGTTATTTGTACCCTGTTGCTTAGAAATGATTTTAACCAGTTCAGTAATGGGTTGCGAATTCCACAAGAGTACAGCTTCTCAAAGAGAATACTGTGAGATACCATGTCAAATGCCCTAGATATATCGAAGTATAGAACAACGACTAGCTTACGTGCTTCGCGATTACTAGTGATGCAGTTGAAAAAGTCGAAGTGGCAAGTAACGCAGGATCTATTTTTGAGAAATCCGTGTTGAGACCTTGTAACAAGATCCTCCCTAATTAGGTAGTCTGACAATTGATCTTTACAACTTTCTCCATGATTCGTGAGATAACTGGGGTTATATTTATGGGTCTGTAATTGCGGACGTTTGCCCTATCACCAGATTTGTAATGTGGAATTATGAAGCTAGTTTTCCACTCACTAGGGTAAGTGCCAGTGTCCATAGATATTGAGAAGAATTTAAGAAGTAACAGGGTATATCACACCCACTGTTTTTGAAAATTATCGAAGCGAGGCCATCCGGTCCCGTACTAGTGGAAGGTTTAAGGCTTTTAATTGCTTGTACTATTAGTTGATTAGTGAACACAATGCTTTCAAGGGAAGAGATAGTAAGGGGAGCGGTTTCACCAGGCATATGTGTTTCTAAACTAAAGTTTGCAAACCAATCACTGAAAGTTCACAGATAGTGGCAGGTTCATTGTAGATTACTTTGTCGTGAAGTAAGTATGGGATTTCCCTCGCTGACTGCATTCGTTTTTTAAGAAGTGCCGTTAAGTTATAAACTTTGGAGGTACTTTCAAGTGCCGTTAACTCTTCGTCGAGGTCCTTTTGAGAACGTAGGCGCTTGATAGATTCAAGAGACTCGTGGATTGAGAGCAATAGTGATATGTCCTTAGTGGAATAGTACTGTTTCTTCAGTTTCCTTAACTTATTACGGTGTGCCCTTGGAATATATTCAGTTCGGTGTCTACTTAATTTCACTATTTTCTTTGGAGCAACTGTATCTAGACAAAGGGTAACATTCCTGTAAAACAGGGTTACTAAGGCCTCCAGGGAGTCAGTGGTAAAATAGTCATCCCATTGACAGAGTCGAATAAGTTCTTGGACTAATCCCCAGTCTGTATATTTGTAACTACGACATATTGTGCTTCCTGAGTCTTGTTTGTTTCCTGTATTTAGTGGTGAGAAAGGCAGAGAGCAGAGTACCATTCTATGGTCACTACTGGAAAATCTATTACCAACATAAGTGGATACTGGGATTGTGTCATGACAAAAAACAAGGTCCAAATGTTGTCCCCACGAGTAGGTGTCTGGACGTGTTGTTGCCATCCATAACAGTCTATAGTGGCAAGTAATTCGTCGAAGCGTTGGGGGCCGGAACTAGTTAGCCAATTGACTTCTGGAAGATTGAAGTCCCCTGCAATTATTTTGTAATTAGCACTAAACGAGGATGCATGTGCAAACGATTTAGCTAATAACGCATCAGTTTCTTTTGTTGCGCTTGGTGCTCGATAAACACAGCCTATGAGAAGTTTGTACTTATCTCCATGTAAGACAACCCAGAGTGAGTCAGGTACATTATTCATTGTTTCATCTTCCACCTTACTGACTACAAATGAGTTATGTATATATATGAGACATCCTCCACCACGCTTGCAATCTCTGTTTGCACGGTGTACAGTGTAATCATCGATACCTATATGCACATCAAGTACTGAGGATGAGCACCATGACTCAGTAATCAGAGCTACAGTAGGCTTGGCGACTAATAATAATGTCCTTAGTTCAGATATCTTATTGATTAAGGAGCGTGCATTAATTAGCAATATCGTGAATAAGTCACGGGATACTACAAACTGGCTTAAAATGTCACCATAACCTAAATCTATTTGTGCGTCAGCACCGCAAGAATTTATGAATGAAAAGGAGGTCGGACTGGGTGTCTGCACATCGGAGTTGGTGTGCAATGAGGTGGTCCTAGGTGCCATGGGTCGTACCAGTGATTCAGGACACCTGGAAAATTTACCATGTGTTCCTGGATATAAGGGTAGTACAGGTTGGGCCTAGGTTGGCGGTTAAAAGGCATAGCATCAGAAGGTCTACCCATCCAACTGCTATTCGTCATACCGGTATACACCTTCGGGTTGTTTTTATAACTTAAAGGGAATTGTGAAGGAAGGTGCTTTGGCTGCAAGACTTTAGGAGTCTTGGAGCCTGACTTTCTATAAGGTGGAGCATGCGGAACACCTCCAGATGTACTTATGTTTCGAGAGGAGTTTTTCGTAACAAGTGATGGTTTGTTGGCATTCTTACTCTCAGCAGGCTTATTGAATACAAAGTATTCTTCCCCATCATTAGTCTCAACCCTGCGAAATTTGTTCATCGTGGTGAGGTTACTACGTTTGGGGGGAAATTTCTTAGAACAACTTGCAGAAGTTCTAGTCATTTTAACATCTTTCGATGAGGCTTTGTTTACAGGGGTACTGGTATCTAAATCAGTTCCTAGTTCCATTGGCAGGTGTGGTTGTTGTGTAGTTTGCTGAATGCTAGTTTCAGCACTAGGTGTCTGTTGCTGTGCACGATCCTTATTTGGTAAATCAAAGCTAGAGGAGGTGACCAGGTTATTACTACGCATTATTCTGCGCTGACACGGTGTTTTATCCTGAGCTACGGTTATAGACTTATAACTGCTATTCAGTCTTAAGTGATCCTGACATTTAGTAAACTTACTAGCATCAAGGGAATTACTGAATTTAAAAATGATTGGGCAATTAGCCTGGTTAGACTTTTTACGAAGTCGTTTGCATTCACATGGAACACTAGCCATGCCGCAACAAATCAGGATTTTGTGTCTTACAGTTTTCAGGGGCAGAGAGTCTGGGACGTTGTAAACTATAGCTTGGTGAGAAGAGGTTATACGCTTCATCACCTCCGTAGCCAAGCAGTCAATCAGATTTTCAGCTTTATTTAGGTTGTCTGGAGATATTTTAGGATGCCTTTCTAAAAGACAGGCTATTGGGTCTAAATTCAAAAGCTTATTTTGAGTTACATCCAGTAAACACTTAACCTGGCCAATATCAGAACGGCTCTCCGTGGTATTTGAGATTGGCAGTGACATACTATCAAACTGATCTAATTTTTTCTGAATTTCACTTACTTGCCTCTGCATATCTTTCAAAAGGAGGTTTAGTTTACAGAACTCAGAGTTCTCTAACAGAACATCTTTCACCTGTATCACAGGAGTGAGATCTGCACTCAAACCATTTTGAGAGCTAGTAGTTGATACTGTATTACCAGGCGGTAATGCAGTTATAACCGAATTTAAGCCACTATCTAAAACAATTGTGTTTCTACGAACACGTTTTTTAGAGATTTGGACCATAATTTCAAGAATTATATGACAATAAGCAGTAAATAAATTTCAGAGCAAACACGTGCAAAAATGTCACCAATTTCGAACGTACCGCCAGAGAAATATATATTATTATTATTAACTATCCCCTTGCATCTCATCAGGTAGGTCGAGAAGTCAATACAAGAAGTTATATGCTCGTACCACTAAGTACAGAAATTCTACAATGCCCTATTTAGCCCGTACTTTATGCGACGAAGACTCTGTTAGACGTGAAACACATAAGTTACTATGTAATTCGCACAGTAAATCGACCCTTTCATAGTTCATCTCTCTGTTTTTTATGGCGTCACACTTTCTGTCGTTTAATTATTACTCTGCTATTTTATTTTAGTTGGTATTACTATTATTACTACAATTTTGTACCTTACGCATATTTTTCACCGTATTGCATACAGTATTTTGCTATGTAGCTGCTGTAACAATCGTTTTATTATCATTATGTAATGTGTATTTTTAATTTTTTTTGTCGTTTTGAGTAAATAGATGCAATATTGTACTGAATGCTGAAAATTCCTTGCTGTATCATTAGTACTGTTTTTGGAATAAAGCTATTATTATTATTATTATGAGGCTAGCAACTCATCATGCAAAAATAAATACTGCTACAGAAAATTCAGTTCTCTAACATGAAGCCCTATATTCCACTGGGAACGTGAAGGAATGACAAAATACCGCACAAAATCTCCAAAGACTTATAGATGACTTGCTTCATAAATTTTCGTTTGACAAAACATACGGAGAAACCCATTCATTTATCTGCTCCTTTCATAAAACATTTAGTACGAGCTTATAGTAGTGTGGATAGGCATAAAAGTGACACGTGACATTGTCCTTGATAATTGGCGGTGATATATCTGCGTAAATGGAAGCCAGGGCAGCAGCCAATATGAGCTATAGTTGGGGAGTGATATCATATCCACCACAATATTCCAGAAATCGGTAAAAATGTATCGACGTTATGGGGAGAGATTGCAACGTCCGATCAGAATCGCGTGCGTCCTATCCAGTGGTTCGGGCCTACCATCACTGATTCTTACATTCAACGCATAAGTGCTAAATCAAAAAGGCAAATCTTCTGACTAAACGGCACAGCGAAGAACTTAAACCACTATTGTGCAGAATACTGCATGAGTGGGCAGACTCAAAGCAATGCAATGCTGCAATTACAGTTACTGCGAAACAATCTTGGGGCTTGACATAAAAAGGAGGGAGGGTGGCGCACGCTGACCAATATATGAGGGAGTGGTCACAAATGTGAATCGCCCCAATCTGTGGAACAGCAACATACATTTTCGACATGTCGAGAATTAAACATCAGTCTGGACTCTTAACAAGAAAAGAAAAAATAAGGGTTGAACGGATCTAAATTATAAATAAAAAAGTGCTTTTGCTCTCACAATCTACAAGCCTGTTCAGCTTCTTGTCTGGATGCTACCCTATGGGCCCTACGGAAATTCGTCAAACATCTCGCGGGTCGGCTTGTCCTACAGGTTCTAATCTTCCAGATCTTTGAATTCACTCCTCACTTAAATTTCATCTACATACCTCACAATAATCTTTTTATTTACGGACATTATACTCTACTTTATCTTAACTACCTAGACCTCTATTAAAGCTAAAACTTGCTCTTTGTTCATATTTGTTGCTTGCCCGAAGTCTGGTTGGTTTGATGAAAAAAATCATTACAACATCAATGTTTGGGAAAAGCTATATTTTCATCGAAAACGTGACCAGGCCTGGACCAATGTGGTTAGCATTAAACATTGCAAATGTATAGTATCATTCCAAGGAGTTTCCACCTCCCTCTTGTATATATCTTGCGCATGTACTTACAATGATGTATTATTCATAACTGTATCTGATACCGTTTTGCAGTTTCACGGGACGTCCTGCTCTTCGTGAAAAAGCTTTTAATCACGCGGTGGCATAGCAAATACCCTGTTCACTGGTTGACAGTTACTATAAGCAAGAATAAGAACGAAGTTTGTGCTGTGGCTCAACTTTGATGGTGATCCTAGTAAACGGTTTACATTTAAACATTTATAAGAACCTGTTCTGACTGCTTGTACAATAATCCAACAATTTAAACACTTGAAAAACTGTAATAATAATAATGCATATTAATAATAGTAACATTCCATATAAATATATAAATTTACATGAAAATGCATGCCATTTCTACAGGCACGATCAAGTATGATATAATATCAAATCGTAGATTGTCGACAAGTTAATAATGTTTCAACAGTTAAATATTTGATACATATATATAAATACACTCATTGTCTGAACTAGGCTGTATAGTTATTGGATTGTACAATTGTTCTCCAGGTTGAGCGGGAAAATCGACTTCGTTTCGTTTTCATCCCGTGGTTGTCGACATACGATAACCAACCAATATTGAGGTAAGTACAACGTTTACAAGGGAGTGAAAACTGTTTTAGAAAAGTTAAAGTGCTAATGTGAATCAATAAAGTGTAATGAAATGGGTAAGTCCAAGTATCACTAATAAATGCATTAATAAAGGAAACTCCCTAGGCTGACAACGTTCATTTGCGATGTATAATGCTTACTGTACAGTTTGCACTATCATGATGTCCACCTTCGGTTTTAATACATTTTTTCCTTATGCCGGTTTTTTATATTTTATGCCTTTTTGTGCATGCATTTGGTGCACAACCGTACCCTACAGAGAATAGGAATAGAATAAGTCGAATCAAATTCACAAAGAGCTGTAAAATGTTAGGTTTAATGGGATATAATGAGGATCAAGTAAAGACGTTATTAGAAAATGAATGAGATAAGACATTGTGAAGTGGTATTTAAAGATCCGACAATGGACAGCAAGTTAATTTATAAGATGCCCCATAAACCTGTGTAGAGCCCACATGGTCGCATCTCAACAATAGCCTGAGTGAATGGTATATATTTAAAGGCAGAAGCATGATCTGTCAAGGCGTTCGTTATTATCTTTTTCAAGATAAAGATCTAAGCCCTCATAAAAATCAGAATAATCTCGAGCCGTCAAATTGTATATTGCTGTTCCTGCAGAATGGGGTGATTCAGCTAGCGCCAACCTCCCTCCTTTTTGATGTTAGGATCTGAGACTATGATTATTATGGCTACCGCAAATATATTGCTTGGTACCAGACATGTTCGTACCTCATATCTCATCTCCCTAGCCTTCTTAATGAATCCTTCCAATAGGTCTCCACGTACATCTTTATGAACATATTATATATGTATGCACGCGTCCTAATGAACAGATTACTTTATAAGAAATTAAAAACTTAAGGGGCAAAAAGAATAGGTTTTGTGAATAGTGGAGCAAGATTCAGCAGAACACTATAGTTAGGGTTCAATGTAGGTAGTATGAACTGAAGGTAAAGTCGGTTGGCAGGACTTAGTGTACTAAATTATCATGACAGTCTTATATATAGTAAACATTAGACATTGCAAAGTAACCTGTCTACACATATTATAAAAAGATATCGTCACTGAAGCAGCAAAATTTTAGCCCTGCGTCAGTGGCACAGTGGTTAGGACTCTCGCCGACCATGCACATGGTCCGGGGTTCGAGCCCACGCCGGCGCACACCTGATATCTACGGTCCGCCTCAAAACTTTGGGCTACCGATATCCATGCTGAAAATTCCATACTTGTACCAAAAATACTGTGTGGAATCAAGCTGTATATAAAAAAATACTGCAGAAGGGTTGTCAATGTAGTTGAAGATTGAACGATCAATTCAAGGTTGTTTGCTCAAAACCAACTTCCCCAATTTTTGCGGAGGCATCAATACGACAGTCATCGTCTCATCGGTCGCTGTTCAGAAGGATGTCAGCAGAAAACTGTCAGAAGTAATATTGTGATTTATTATTGTAATATTTGTTCACAGACCTTAGTCATACAAATTTATATGTTGGTGTAACAATAAAGAATCCTCCAGTCAAAAATTGGTGTTTTGGTTTTTTCGTCCGTTATTACTAAGCGTTTCTGAGAAACTTCAAGGGACAGCGTTAGCCCGAGCGTAGCAAGAGTTGGGCATTAACGGTTTACGAGACGTGGCTGACAAGGGTGGTTAGTCTTACAGGGAGCCGTAAAGTAAATCAAATTATATATGATAAGAGTATAATCAATATTATAATTCGTATTATCAAAGAATACATTAGGCTCAATAATTGAGTGTTATCGGGGAAACAAGCGTGGTAAAGCAAGAGAACGTTTGATGCATAAATATTTTAATCATTTTAAGTGTTTTAATAACAATCTGATTTCGAGAATTGAACATGCATAATTATTGAGTATTATTATATTAATATATACGTATGTAAAATGTTTGAAGGTGTGGCTGCTATTAAAATTATTTCCAATGTTACCTTTACCAACATTATGAATTTTAGAAAATTATATGAAAATGGGTAACTGTTGACTGAAGTTAGTCAATTCAACTCAAAAATAGTGCAGTGTATTATGCTAACAATATAAGTATATTTGTAAAATATTAAAAGATATGGTTGGTAGTGTTATGACGAACTTATTGAAGATTACAGTGAAGAGGAAACCAGTGAGTTAGTTAAACGGCTACTGAGCAGTTAGTAGTTAAAACGTCTTTATAAGTAAGAGGCAGAAGAGTCTTGAGTACCGTAGCAAATTAAGTTATATTCTACAAAGTAGACCAAAGTGGATAGTGGTACGATTAGGGATAAGGGCAGGTTAAATGAACTTGGGGAAAACGGTTGGTTGGCTGAGTTTGTTATTGCTAGATTTTCCTAAATATAAAGATCCAAGCCCTCATAAAAATCAGAAAAATCTCGGGCCGTCAAATTGCATATTGCCATTCCTGCCGAATGGGGCGATTCACCTTAGTGACCACCACGTCTCCTGATCAGCTAGCGCCATCCTCCCTCCTTTTATGATGTTAGGTTTACAATTTAACATTTATAAGAACCTGTTCTGACTGCTTGTAAAATATTCGAACAATTTAAACACTTGAAAAATCGTTAATTTATGGTACTCCACGATTGTAATATTTATTTTGTTTACTTTT